GCTGCCATAAGGGCGTCAGTGCCATTTTTATTGCGGCATTATGTTTTAATTATTCAAGTGTAAGCAAGTAGGCACCAGATCTATTAAGTAAAGAATAAATCTACTATAGTTAGATATAGCATACTAAGCAATTGTCTCTTTAAATAATAAAAAAAATATATAGAGGAAAAAAGGTTCCACAAAAAAATGTCGTATTTGTATAGACTCCAAATCCCCTCTGTTTAAACAGAGTGATTAATATCAGCTCCTGTAGGAAATTAAATTCAGGGAAGAACAGTAATATGCAGATATGCAGATTTCTAGACGAAATGGCTAGCCCTGGGTAACGGAGTCAGGTTGATTAATCTGCATCCACAGAATACAAAATGAAATGCAGAGCTCTCCTGGGTTGTACTAGAAATGAGTTTTCCTCCTTACATTAGAAATAAATGGACACACACATATCCACACAAATTGCAAAGGACCTTTAGAGCATGTGGCATGTTTACATATATGATGTTTAATATTTTAAATGAATATGTCTTGGCTTAGAGTGAATAATGAATTAATATTTCATTATATATGTATGTATATAAGTATGTTTACACACACACACACACACACACACACACACACACACATGCACACACACCAAGCACACTTTAATCTTTGCTGATCTGAGAAGTATAAGACAATATTGCGCATCCACATTAAAGTGCATCTTTGATTCATTCATATCTGCCTACTTTGCAGGAATACAGTTTGGAGATAAATATCATCATAAACAGTGTCTCATGGAGGAAAGAAAGCGAGGCCATACAGCCTTACTTAATGCTCAGGTTTAAAAAAAGAAAAAAGAAAGAAAAAAGATTTAGTTCAGTGTATTACTTCTACAGTTAAAATCATATCAAAAACCTAACCACGAAGGAACAAGGATACAATTGTACAGGGTGAGTTTGGACAGGGATAAATAACATTATGAATAATTACCACCACCACCTTAGCCTTTTAAAATGTTAATCTGTTTACATTATCTGTCCCAGATTAAATGTAAGAGTTTTGATCATGTAATAATGCCTTTTTAACAGAAAAATATTTACAGGAAAATTCAAAATGTCATTTTCAGGCTCCCCCACCCCCCCTGTCGTTACTGGAAACCCAAGCCTGTTATTTAAAATCGTTCACGGTCTCTCCAATAATTGTATAGAAGTAGGCATTATGCTATATTATTAAAGCTGTAATTTCCTGCTGAATCTGGCTGGATGTTTCTTTTTATCACTTGGCAATTTCTATCTAGTTATGGCATAATTAAGTTTCCTGACCCTTGCTCACTCTCTTAACAGGACGCTTAGAAATATACCAGAATTGCAGATCTTCAACCTGATGTCCCCACATAGTAATGGAATAAAATTATTAATCCAGTAATTTTACAGAACACATTACTTTGCATTGAATGTTCCTATTTTTCATTTTCTGTTGGTGACAATCAGCCAGAGGTACAAATCATTTCTGCAGGGAGCAGAACCTGCCTGGGGAGGTGGGGTGGGGGAGAGATTCTCTCATTCACTCTTCTGTAGCTACCTGTACAGCTGTGGTTTTTCAGAGTCTAACACAGTACTCGGCTCAGGTGAACAAAACAAAGTTAATAAATGGAAGGAGGAACAAGATACGTCTCTCTGCGGCGGCTTCCTAGGCATCAATAGCAGACTCTTGCCCCCCAAATGATAAATTCCCCCACATCCAACTGCATGTCTGCAAATGAGTCTCAGTTAGCTGTTTTTCAATTCGCCCAAATTATTAGTATTATCCTTCCGCACAGCACAATTGTGTAAATGGACGGCGTTAACAACCAAATGAGGCAGACGTGCATTTCTTTGGGGTCACTTCTTTGCCATGTGAACCTTGCAAGACGAAGGCTGCGCGCTGCTGGATTAACTATGTAAATATCTGCATGGGCATTTGACGCAAGGAATGTGTTCAGCAGAAGGGGACAATAGGGAGGCGAGGGAAGGAACACTTACCTGATGCAAATTCTCAGGGAGGGTAAAATTCTATTTTATATTCTTACAGTAGGTTTTTTTAAAAAAAATTTGTAAGCAAATAGAAATGCTTTTAGTTATTTTGTGGGGAGTGGCTTGGATTCTACCTTCCGTAAACAGATAATAGCAGTTGGCATGGTCACCTGACCTCCAGTTGGTTGCTTCTGATTACTATGAAGCAGAGGGGGAGGGGAGGCAGCAGTGAGGTCAGGGCAGGAAAAGCACAAAAGTGGAGCCAATTTTGCAGCCCTGTTTGGAGGTTTGCAAGTGGGGGGGGGGACCAATAACTGTCCAATGATATCGGAGAATGCTCAGGAGTCATGGAATGCTAACTGACTGCTGGGGAGAGACAAAGAGAGGGGAAGTGATCAGAGCCATAGCTAGGTGATCTTGCACTCCTGGCAGAACCGTCCAGATTGCGCTCCCTAGCCATGGACAAATTAGCTCTTCTTTCTGCCTTTCCTCCAACTCTCCCTCCACCCATTCAATTCCTCATGCACTTCAATTCCTCAAACACTAATTGATATTTTTATTTATACATATATATGGGCATATTTTGTAGGCAATTTTGCGCCTGCGCCCCTCGCCTGTGCCCCTGGCGGGGGCCTTCCTCACCACCCCCAGCTACGGCCCTGGCAGTGATATTTTGTTGCAGTGGCATGCCTGAAAATTTTCCATAGGGGAACAGTTATTATTATAATAATTATAATAATTAATTATTTGTACCCCACCCATTTGTACTGCCACTCTGGGCAGCTTCCAACAAAGATTAAAAATACATTAAAATGTCACACATTAAAAACTTCCCTGAACAGGGCTGCCTTCAGATGTCTTCTGAATGTCAGGTAGTTGTTTATCTCTTTGACATCTGGTGGGAAGGCGTTCCACAGGGTGGGTGCCACTACCAAGAAGGCCCTCTGCCTGGTTCCCTGTAGCTTTGCTTCTCGCAGTGAGGGAACTGCCAGAAGGCCCTCTGCGCTGGACCTCAGTGTCCGGGCTGAATGATGGGGGTGGAGACGCTCCTTCAGGTATACTGGGCTGAGACCGTTTAGGGCTTTAAAGGTCAGCACCAACACTTTGAATTGTGCTCGGAAACGTACTGGGAGATAGTGTAGGTCTTTCAAGACCAGTGTTATATGGTCTCGGCGGCCCCTCCCAGTCACCAGTCTAGCTGCCGCATTCTGGATAAGCTGTAGTTAGAGCTGTATGTAGAATTGGGGTCCCCAAGAGTCATTAAGTCCAATCAACTGCAAGGCAGGAATCTCCACTCAAGCATCCCTGGCAGATGCCTAAAAACCTTCAATGAAGGAGAGTCCACAGCCTCCCAAGGAAGCCTATTCCCCAGCTGGTCAATTTGTCAGTTCCTAGCAGCTTGCATAAAGAAAAAAAAGTTTGGCTTTGTTTTGTTTTTTGAAAAAAGACAGCCCCAGGTGGAAAGGTGGATTCCCCCCCCCCATAAAAACTACTGTTTTGGGGGGATAGGGGATGGGCAGGTGTGGTCCTGAATGGGGTAATTGTGCCCCTGAAGGAGCAGGTGTGCAGCCCGGGAGTCATTTTGGACTCTCATCTGTCCATGGAACTGCAGGTTAATTCTGTGTCCAGGGTAGCTGTGTACCAGCTCCATCTGGTAGGCCGGCTAAGCCCCTACCTGCCTGCGCACTGTCTTGCCAGAGTGGTACAAGCTTTGGTTATCTCCCGCTTGGACTACTGCAATGTGCTCTACTTGGAGCTACCTTTCAAGGTGACTGCAACTATTCCCCGTCAGGTGTCGAGGAAATAAACAACTACCTGACTTTTAGAAGAGGGGAGGAGGAAACGAATCTAGGACCACAATGAATTGATTGATTGATTGATTGATTGATTGATTGATTGATTGATTGTCTTGCTCCTCCTCCCAAAGCATCCAAGGGGCGCAAACAAGTGATAAAACAATAAAAAGATGTTAAAAACAATACCAAAACTAATACAGATGCAGATAGGGAAAGCTCCCTGCTTAAAAGGCTTGTAGAAAGGGGAAGTTCTTCAATAAGTGCCAGAAAGATGGCAGAGATGGCACCTATTATATTTCTCAATTAGAAGGCACTTTTAAAGTGCTCAAGCAGTTTTATGGTTATTGTTTTTAAACCAGCGACTCCCACAACAACTATGTGAGATAAGATTATTACTCCCATGCTGCAGAAGGGGATTTCATATAAGCTCACTTTATCACTTTATGCACAGTACTTAGCAACTCAGGTAGTTCACACGTTTATCTGCAGATGAGATATCAAGTGCTACTGAACCTGAATGTGTGAATCAGATCAGTAATCTAGCAGGTGGATTACACTATCCCATATCACACTGGTGACTCGCTTTCCCCCTTCTTCGAAAGAGAGGGTGGGGAGAAAATAGATTCCAAATAAAATTCAGTTGAGAGTGATCATCTGACTGACACATCAGCATAAGCTTGCACTGGTCTAGGTAGGCAGAAATGCACTTGAGCCGTTGGGCTGTGCTTATGGTTAACAATCTCGTAAAATGGAAATTTAAAGGGGAAACAGCAAGGCAAAAAATCAACATCTTCATTCAGGCGCTATCTATTTAGGACTAAAGCAGCATAATGTGTCCAGTGTTTACATCTCATTTCAGAAAAGAGCAAATAAATTGTGTTATGGGTGTGCTGTGCTACAGTTAATGTCTCAAATCCCATTGCTTTCAAATGCTTTGATATATCCCCCCCCCACTTTCCTGTCTTGCCCTATAATCATGGCTTTTGGTCTTGCAGAAGAGTAAATCGGTAAAAGCAGAGTGTGGTGGTTGCACAGTATTTCCAGGCTGGCAGGTTTATAAACTAATCTACGTTCTTCCCTTTCAGCATCTATATGAGGGGAACGTGTGTAATTTTCACTTCTCGGGTAAATGCAACTGTTCAAATAATGAAAAAATACTGTTTTAAAGTGCCATTAGACAATCGGCCTTTCCCCCTATCAAAAACAATACTACAGCAGTCAGCTGGATTGTGTGTGTGTGTGTGTGTGTGTGTGTGTGTGTGTACACACACACACACACACACACACACACACACACAGAGTATACATATAGGCTACAAAATAGCTCTGATTTTATTTCCATTGAATCAGTCACGGTGGAAAAAGGTAATCGTCGTAATCACAGCAAAGATTTCTCTCTATTTGTCTAGGCACTTAGGCAGGCCGCATCACCTAAGTCTCTGAGCAACTAGAGCAGAATAGCTCAGGTGTAGTTTTGATACAGACATGCAAACCTCATTCCTTAATTTGTTTTGCATAAGATTGGTTGATGCTCTTGAGATAATCTCACTCATGACTGTGACTTTTTTCTCCTTACCAGTAATAAACTTTTTCAAAAACTGCACACTTTAATAGCCGAGGTTCTATAGGGCAACTATCAAATAAGGAAACTGAACATTTCCAAATTATGTTATAGCCTTAGCCATCTTTAAAAAAAAAAAAAAGTTTTCAAGGAATTGTGTTGGTAAATAAGATGCAAGCTTGCCAAGACAACCTTTAGAAACATATGTTGTGAAAATAAAGAATTATATATTAGAATCGCCAAGTTTCCAACTATCCTCTGCTTCACTGCTTTTAAATTTGAGGTGCAGATAGCAGATAATAATGATAAATCTCTATGTAGCTAAAAGCTTCATCAACCGCTTTCTGCAGATGAAGCTGATGTTAAAGGCACAACAGCAGGGCAGGTTTTTTCAACTCAGCTGGCAACCCTGTTATATAATGAAGATAGATATAGATAGATAGGTGATAGATAGAGAGATAGATACACCCCTACACACACCTCTACTGTAGATATGAATCTGCACATGCGTATCTAAAGCGAGTCAAGGTTGAGAAGCCACCTTGAGTCCTGTCAGGGAAAAAGGTGGGATATATTATTATTATTATTATTATTATTATTATTATTATTAGCAGTAGTGGCAGCAGCATTTAAATTTATATACTGCCCTTCATCCAAAGATCTCAGGAAATCACCCCCTCCCATAAGAGAAATAAATAAACCAGTTAGATGTTAGCATCTCAGGTTGAACTGAACATCAATCTACAAAGTGTTTGAAGATAATACTTGTTTTTGTTCTTATGGACACTCTGTTGCCATTGCACATTGGACACATACCTGGATAACACAGAATTTAGAGTCCTTTAGTGGTATGGTATGGTAACAGCGCAATTCTATGCACGACTTAGAGGTAAGGCCCATTGTATTCAGTTGGGTTTACTTTCAGGAGGGAAGGGATGAGGGAATATGATTCAGTTCACATTTAAACGTGAGTCTTCTTACTTCACATTTTGCAAGACAATGCGTATGCCAAAATACACCCAGTCACATTTCTCTGAATTTTGCAGTGCAGTTCTCCAGCCAAGTAATTGGGACAAAAATTCACAAAGGGTCCATACAAATGCATATATTCGTTGAAAATGACATAAAAATGCACTATATTAGGGGGGAGCTGTGTTGTAAAAAAAGTGTCTATTAGGTAAAATAGCATGCAAACATGTGTTTATTGGGGGGAAATTCGCACAAAAATGCAGAGGAATATTCATGAGGTCTTGTTTGTTTGTTTGTTTGTTTGAAGGCAAAAACAAATGGGGAACTGAATTTGATTTTGGAAAATAAGAGAGATAAGTCAAAATTGCCAGGTTTACCCATCCCTACTCTCAGGAAAGTGTGCACCGGATTATAGCCTAACAAAGCAATCCTGTGCATGTCAGATAATAACGATGATAATAATAACGATGATAATCGTAATGGTAATGGTAATAATAATAATAATAAAGCTCTGTCCCGCATAATCAGTCACAAGATGTGGTGCATGCACACCATTTGAATGGCAATGGCCATCAACTTTGAGGGGCCCCAGTCCCCTCAAATATTTTATTGGGGGGGGAGATGAACCACACCCCTAGGAGTTGGCGTCTCTGCCACAGTGTAAGATTCAGAAAGGCCTAAGTCCAGAATAAATTGTGATACCTACAACTCCATTTACATTTAGTTGCTGAAACTTCATTCTGTCTTACTGGATATCAAAAACTTTTTTTTTTTTAAAGAAACCTGCTGATTAATACTTTAATTCTTATTTCACACAATAAGGATGAAATCACAATATGGAATCAAGCGTCTTTCATATAACCTCTGACTCAGCTAAGTAGTAAATAGTTACATCCACCGATGTGGGTGTCATGGAAGAACGATCGCTTAACTTCCCATTGTTTCATTAATAAAAATGATCTCAGAAGCAGAAGGCAATATTAACTATTTCCTCTTTTCTCCTCCTTTATCTAGGATGCTGAAAGACACTGCTAAAATAGATCTATTTTCTTTTCATTCTACAGAATAATGCATGAATGATTATAACATATGCTCTATCTCTAGTTTTTCAACCAGTGGAAAAGTGCCTGACACAGTAATCACAACTTGTTGGGTTTTCAATCTGATGCTGTCCTATTTTATCATGGTAGTTAAATGTCCGTTCTTGTACAGCGTGATAAATGTTATGGCCATTTAACAGTAGCGGAAAAAAGAGAGAGACATGTTAAACCAAATATTGCTTCAGATTGTGTCTTTTATTCTTCTTTATCATCATATCTTAATTTATAGTATAATCATCATTATCACAACTGTCAGCCTCATTTAACCTTCCCTGATCTCCCATGATTCTTTGCTGTCAGGTCTGATTGCCTGCCTTCTGCTGACTGACTGATAATGGTTGACTGATTAGCCCTCCCCAAGTAGAAGACAATGATATATAGAACAGTGCAGCTTGCTCTATATATTAATGAGGAGCTGGCAAAGCTTTGATAAGGCTCTGGAATAATCCATCAGTGAGAGAAGGAGCTTGTAAAAAAACGGGTGGAACATTTCAGGGGAGAGACACCTGGGAAGGATGTAATGACCCAGCAACTAAATACCTCTCAGCTGCCTTGCCTCTGTTGTAATTAACATCAGATAGCTGCCATATGGATAACAGTAAGGAGTTTATCAGTCTCCAAAATCCAGTTTACATTCTCTCAATTTTGCACCTAGGGCTTTCGGCCTTTACAACATATTTAGCAAGCAAAGCAATTAATAGCTCATTTTCCTTGGCATTAGACACTGTTTATCTTTTGAACTACCTCTTATCATAGGCCGTTACCTATGAAAGGCAGAAGTCATTGGCTTTTTGTGTGTGTGTGCTCTAGTTGTTACACTTACGCAGCAGAGGCCTGTTCACCATTAGATTCAAAGCTTCTGATGGCTACTTGAGTTTGAATGCGCTGTTATTACAGGTATTATATGAAATTGCTTGTGTTATGTGAAGGGGATTATAGAGGTTCTGGATCAATAACTTCAGTGGATGTTGGGAGTGATTACAGTACTCTGTCAATTTTTCCCATTTGGCTGTCAGTACTGATTTACAACACTCCACCTCTTTTATTCACATCAAATCATTCATTTCATTGGCAAATTCTATATATCTCAATTTACTTTAAGTAGCTGATTTGTGTAAAAATAAAATTACGTCCTCTCCTCTTGTTGTAACATATAGGTACAAGTAATAAAAATAAGTACAAACGTATCGGGAAATATTTAGGCTCTTTATATAGGGGGCAGTATTCTGTTTTGTATTGACATCACCAATGTCAATGTGGGGAATATATACAGTTGGAGCACCTTCCTGCCAGCTGCCATTTCTTTGCAACTATTGCAGTTAGCAGCTGAAATTCAAAGCTACTTTACAGAAATACAACTGAAATGACTGAAAACAGGCTGGCCCCTCTTTCCTCTCAGTGAAAACAAAAGGTCTAAGCATACAGTGGTTAGGAAGGTGAAGCCCACCCAAAACACACCTCCAGATGACCAATGAACTTTCTTGAATCATAGAATTGGAAGGGACACCAAGGGTTGTCTAGTCTAACCCCCTGCAATGCAGGATTCTCAGCTTATCCATGGCAGATGGCGTCTCCACCTCTGCTTAAAAACCTCCAAGGAAGGAGATTCCACAAACCCCAAGGGATTCCGTTTGTTCCACTATCAAACAGCTCCTGCTGTCTTCCTGATGTTTAGTCGGAATCTCCTTTCTTGTAACTTGAACAATATGAGATGGGGCACAGGGGGCTGCTGGGAAACATGGTAATTGTCCCCAATCTATAACAGGGGTTTCTCAGCATTCTCACTAAGCTGCAGCTCCCAAGATTCCTTGGTGAAGGGCGTGACAAACTGGTAGAAGTTTGTGCCGCAGTTCAGCTGCCCTATATTTCCAGGAACTTTTCAAGGAAAGATACAGCAACAAAATAAAGGAAGAATGCATGTTAATGGATGGGACGATGACAATAAAGCAAACAATTTGCTTCATGAAATTTTGCATAAAGGGCCTAAGGCGTAAAGTGCAAGTAACACGCTGTTAAGGCTATATTATACTTTTCCACTTCCTTTCCTAGCCTTCCTCAATAATTTCGTGTTATGAATCCGAAAAACAAAGCAAACCAATTCCACCCAGTTAATCCAAATTATTTATAGTCTAAAATGACATCTGCATTTCCTCTCTAAAAAATGATAGCATATATAACTTGATATTAATAACAAATACAATGTTTTCAGTGTGAAGAGGGGAAAGTCTCTTCTGTTTTCTATAGCTCAAGACGTATTAATAAACATACAGTAAGACTTGATATAATACAAACACACTGTTGTTACAGATGCTGCTGTATTCAAATAAAGGAATTCAGAGAAAGAAAAATAATAGCCTGTGTTTATTGTCTGTTTGGCATAAAATGCCCTTTGCATTAAAATATACAGATTAATCCAGTGGGTCTGTTGCTTTCCATTCACACCTGTATATTTTAGGATATCATTTGCAGAATTTATAAATACAATAAAATATAGTGAACAGTGTTTAAAACACAATAAGTAAACACCTCCGCAGACCAGGCATATTTTTTCTGAATAGGCACACATTATTTCATACAGTATGTTTTTTTACTATTCAGTTAACATTTAGTAATCAGCTAATTCCTCTTATCCGATCAATCAATGGTACCTAGAAAGAAATGTTCTCCGAGTAGGATTTA